GCCTTGAGCTGAAGAGCTGAGGGACAGCGCCCAGGCCTAGAGTTCAAGCCCCACGACCGACAAAAAAAAGAAAGGGAGGAGGTAAAGATATTAAACGACTTCTTGTATGTAAAATACACTATATATCCACTATATATCCCATGTGTAAAACAAGCGTGGGATACTAACTATACACTGTCATAAATAATGCATAAAGCTCAATGTATTTCAAAGAAACAACATTGTTCAGATCATTCTCTGGACACAAAGCAATTAAATAAGAAATCATCAATAAAAACATAGGTCTAAAATCAACTAGGTATTATCATATTCATAATAAAACTTCTAGATTTTTACTTTTTAAGATTTCTACCATGAGGGGCTGGGAAGTTGGCTCAGTGGTAGAGTGCTTGCCTTGCATGCCTGAGGCCCTGGGTTCAATTCTTCAGCACCACATAAGCAAAAAGAAAAAAGCCGGAAGTGGTGCTATGGCTTAAGTGGTAGAGCGCTAGCCTTGAACTGAAGAGCTGAGGGACAGTGCCCAGGCCCAGAGTTCAAGCCCCAGGACTGGACCCAAAAAAAAAAAGATTTCTACCATGAAACTACAAACTTAAATCATGATATAGAATTCAACTAAACATACATAACCAGAATTTAACTATTCCTATTGTTAAATTATGTGATACAGTATTTCAAACAATAAACGGAAGAAAGAAGCACACTGAAAATTAAGAATTCTTCCCAAATTTTTTAAAGACAGTATTGCTGTTTAGATCATGCTGGCCTCACACTTGCCATCCTTTTCCCCTCAGGCTCAAAAGTGCTGGGATTATAGGAATGTACAAGCTCAGCTTCACTTATCCTGTAAACACTAGTAAGAGTTTCTTAATTGCTCTCCTATAGACATGTTGGGCATGTTGTACATTATTTTCTTTAAAATTTCCTATATTACTTATAAAGAGAAGAAATGATTATTAATGCATCGAAATTCAATGCTTTTAAACTGATTTCTAAACAATCCAAAATTTTATATGGAACAACATAAGACCTAGAATAGCCAAAGCAATTCTATGCAAAAGAAGCAATGAAGGTGTATCACAATACCAGACCTCAGACTCTATTACAGAGCCATAGTAACAAAAACAGCTTGGTATTGGCACAAAAATAGACCCAAAGATCAATGGAATAGATTAAAGAGCCTGAAATAAAACCATACACTTACAGTTATCTTGTGTTTCATAAGGGAGTCAAAGACATATGGAAAGAAAATAGTCTCTTCGATAACTGGTATTGGGAAAACTGGGCATTCATACATAGAAAACTAAAAGTGAATCCCTGTTTGTCACCATGCACTAGTATCAATTCAAAGTGGATCAAAAACTTCAATGTCAGACTTGAAACTTAAGAGTAGGAGAAACCTTAAAACTTACAGGTAGAAACATCTTGAATAGAGTCCTAGGAGCACAACAGATAGGAGAGACTTGACAAGTGGGACTACGTCAAAATAAAGTTTCTGCACTGCTAAGGACATTAATTACTAAACCAGAAAGACAGCCAACCAACTGGGAAAAGATCAATATAGCAAGACAAAGGCCTATATCCAATATACAAGGAGCTCAAAAAACTAACCCCTCCCAAACTAATAAACCAATCACTAAATGGGCAAGTGAGCCAAGGAGAGACTTCCTGACAAGAAATGTGCTCATTACCTGACTCCTGTAACAGCATCTTCACAACAAAATTGAGTTTTAAAAAAAAAAAAGTAATGCAAAGAAACACATGAGGAAGCCGGGCACTGGTGGCTCACGCCTGTAATCCTAGCTACTCAGGAGGCTGAGATCTGAGGATCGCAGTTCAAAGTCAGCCCGGGCAGGAGAGACCGTGAGACTCCTATCTCCAATAAACCATCAGAAAACCGGAAGTGGCACTGTAGCTCAAGTGGCAGAGCACTCGCCTTGAGCTGAAGAGTTGAAGGACAGCGCCCAGGCCCAGAGTTCAAGCCCCACTACCGACAAAAAAAAAAAAGAAACACATGAGGAAATGCTCATCATTCTTGGCCAAGAAAGAAATGCAAATCCAAACAACTCTGAGATTCTATCTCACCCCAGTAAGATTGATTAACATTATGAAACTTAATAACAACACATGTTGGCAGGGAGAAGATGTGGGCAAAGAAATCCTATTGCACTATTGGTGGGAATGTACACTAATACAACCACTCTAGACAGCAGTCTGGAGGTTCCTCAAAAAACTAAACACAGACCTTCCCTATGACCCAGCCATACCACTCCTGGGCATCTACCCTGGACATCATGAGCCAGAATATGATAAGGACACTTGTACATTCATGTTCATTGTCGAACTATTCATAATAGCCTAGATATGGAAACAGCCTAAATGGCACACAATAGATGAATGGATCAAAAAAAGTGAGGTTCCCATATACAATGGAATTTTACACAGACAACAGAAAGAATAATATTATGTATTTGTAGGGAAATGGATGGAACTAGAACAAATCATGTTAAGTAAGGTAAGCCAAGCTCAGAGAAACAAATGGTGTATGTTCTGATATGCAGAAACTAAGATCTAAAATGCACCAGGATATGATAAATTATACAGGATTCTAGATACACACAGGGAGACTAAAAGAGGATATTCTGCCAGGCACCGGTGGCACACGCCTGTAATCCTGGCACACGCCTGTAATCCTAGCTACTCAGGAGGCTGAGATCTGAGGATCATGGTTCAAAGCCAGCCCAGGCAGGAAAGTCCGTGAAACTCTTATCTCCAATAAACCACTGGAAAACCAGAAGTGGCACTGTAGCTTAAGTGGTAGAGCGCTCACCTTGAGCTGAAAAGCTGAGGGACAGAGCTCAGGCCCAGAGTTCAAGCCCCACGACTGACAAAAAAAAAAAAAAAAGAGGATACTCTAAGGAGAGAAACATAAAGGTACAATGCCCAAGTGCCTCTTCATATTTATGTAAAATAATACACATACTGAAACAAACTCCAAGATATGGGACAAGCGACCTCTTTTGTTTTTCCTTTCTTTTTCTTTTAGTTTTTAGTTTTTGATGATTCTGTCCTCTTTACATATGTATAGTGTGTTCAAGTGTACATCTTCGGAAGAGTTGGGGGCAGGGTACCGAGCTTGAGGGAAAAGGTGCAGCAGTGGAACTCACTGGACAGTGATGAAAGTGAACTATGTAAGTGTGGGTGGAGACAGGAGGGAGGGACTGGGAGGAAATGAGGGAACAGAAGACAATGTACAAAAGGAAATGTACTCATTACCTGACTCATGTAATTGTAATCCCTTTTTATCTGACCTCTATAGTAACAATAAAGGAAATTAATAAAAAATGATTTCTATTAGGGATTGTTATTCTTATGTGTATGATTTAAGTTGTATTACATTGTTGAAAACAGCTTGTCATACACTGTCATGATGATAAATACAATGTTCAGGTCAGGTATTAGTCAGAGGCAAAGGATATGTTCTATCAATGTATAGCAGCAATATTAAGCCACTATGAATATCCCAATATGAGGCCATTACTTAAAACTATCTAAAGCATAAACATATACATGATTAAAATTCCTCTGAGGAAGAAAGAATAGTAGTAAAAAAGATACACTGACTCATAAAATTGCTAATTTACTCAATAAAATCAGTGTTCAGAGTATTTCAAACATTTATAGAAGAAACTATTAAAAGATCTGAAACTCTAAAAAAGTTTTAACACTACTTAACATTATGTTTCCAGTTTTCCTAGGAATTGCTACAAGCAAAAGAAGTTCACTCAGTATTTGCATGAGGTAAGACTTTAAATAAGTTTAAATGTTGAAGATACAAGCATTCACATTTTCAGAAGGCTCATTTCCCATAAGCTTTAGTATCACAAGAATATAAATGTGTTAGTATGAGAAAAAATACTGTTAATGAAGTCTCTGAACAGAAAGTCCAGTCCTTGGTCTTTTCTGCTTATAAAACCGCGCATTTCTTACAGAATGGGAAAAGGTAGAAAGAAAGCTAGACAAAATTATCAATTTAAGCATGGCTAATATAAGCCAGGTGCCAGCTGTTCAAACCCATAGTACTACTTTACTCAGGAGATAGATCTGAGAACTGCAGTTTAGTCCTCAGCCTGAACAAACAAACTCATAAGACTTTCTTCAATTAACCAGCAATAAAAAAAGGCTGGACATGGAGATTTGACTCAAGTGGTAAAGTGCCAGCTAAGAGTAAAGAGACTAAGTAAGGGCTGGAGGCCTAGAGGTCAAACCTCAGCATCAAATAACAAACACATAGTTCCAAATTCATCACAGGTAAACGTAATTAAAGATGCTTATAAAGGATAAGAATGTACAACAAAGGGCTGGGAAGATGGCTCAGTGGTAGAGTGCTTGCCTTACATGCATAAGGCCCTGGGTTCGATTCCTCAGCACCCCATAAGCAAAAAGAAAAAAAAAGCCGGAAGTGGCGCTGTGGCTCAAGTGGTAGAGTGCTAGCCTTGAGCTGAAGAGCTGAGGGACAGTGCCCAAGCCCAGAGTTCAGGCCCCACAACCGGAACACCCCCTCCAAAAAATGAATGTACAACAAATGAGTACCATTTTTTAATAAGTGTAATTAAAGACAGAGGAAGTAAGGAAGGAGAGAGGAAAGAATGGAGGAAGAAAATCAGCTCTGTAATAATTACATTTTTATTACTTAAGAAATACAAGCCACTGTAACTTAAAAGACAGAAATGCAAAAAGAATCAATATATGATACTACACATTCTACCACTGAGTCATGCTCATGATGCAATGATCTAAATATGTTTTATACTCATCAGTGACATCTGAGAATGCTTGTTTCCTTAATCATTTTTTTTTTTTGCCTGGCCTAGGGCTTGAACTCCAGACCTGGGCGCTGTCCTTGGGCTCCTTTTGCTCAAGGCTAGCACTCTACCACTTGAGCCACAGCACCACTTCCAGCTTTTTCTGTAATTACTTCAAGGTAAGAGTCTCATGGACTTTCCTGCCCAGGCTGGCTTGTACCACTATTCTCAGTCTCAGCCTTCCAAGGAAGTAGGATTACAGGTATGAGCCACCAGCACCCATCTCCTTCACCTCTTCTAAACACACACTATACTAATTTGAAAACCACTAACTGGCATTTAAAAAAAAGGTCTCAATATTTTAATTTGTAGATTTTGTAACAAAGTTATAGTCTTCATATTTTTGTCCAATCTTACTTTCTTTTGAGAAGTATAAGATTGTAATTATTGTTATCTATTTTATGATAGTGGGGAGAAAAGCCCTTAGCTAAAAACAACCCAAGAATTAAAGAAAAAGTTACCACAAATATAAGTGAAGGACACATAGAAGTTCCATTCAATAAACTTCCTAATAATTTATGACTGAAATTCCACATATTAGGAACAAGGAGTAGACTCAGAAACTGGCATGGAGTTTTATAAATAATGTGCTTTTACAAGAAATTTTTATTTTCTAATCTGTGATGAACAGATAAGGCTAAATCTTCTGTAATATTAGCATCTAGAAACTCTGGGCCATGTGAGAACTATACTCAGGTGAATGTAGAAGCAGTTCACACAATTTACACATCTGTGAAGATAATTTCCTACCCACTACATTTAATTAACTACAATAGTTTTCTACACATTTTATAGAAAATGATCAGACTTTTAAGTAAAACAGTGACCCCCCCCCAAAAAAAAAAACCAAGCAGTAAAGACATGCTGAGATTTACTCAAATTCTTACCTGAAAGTTTAAATTTAAAAAAATGTTACACTTCCAAGGAAAATCCCACTTGAGTTGGCAAAGACTACAATGTGATCGGCCCATGTGAGGAAGTAATGGGAATATAAATCATTTCTATTCCCAAAGTATCTTCAATAGCATCACAATTTTCAAGACAAATGGTTACAAATAACAGAAAGAAATTAATTCTTACTGTAGCATATATTAACACAGAAGATATGAAATTCTGCAGAGGGCTAGGGAAAAGATTGTCTGTGTTAGAATTCCACAGCTTATCCTGAAAAAATAACAATCATTTCCTTATCTTTAAGTATAAAGTTACTTTACCAAAAGAATTTATGAAATGTTTAAGTCTAGAAAGTTTTCCTCACCTTACACATGCCATAGTCAGTGAGCTTAATGTGCCCTTCCGAATCCAGTAATACATTGTCCAATTTCAAATCTCTATAAATTATCCCTCGTTCATGAAGATAATTTAATGCTAGACTAATTTCTGCAGAGTAAAACCTAAAAGGAGACAAAAATTAATTGAATCCAAATTTTTAAGCTGTTACGATTCTTTAGCGGTAAGTATGTAAGTTTAACTCCCACTTACACTTATAAACATAGCATTGTTCTCCCAACATTTTTAAGTATTAAAAAATTATAGTACCACTTAAAAATATATATAAGCCCAAAATAGAACTATAAATTTTCTAGTCTCTCTTTTCTAGCTCTTTTACTCTCTCTTTCCCAGCTCTCTCTTAAGTAAAAAAAAAAAGAAAAAATAATTTTCTAGTCTAATACAAACTTGTATTTCTCATAAAACTATGAAAATTTCAAACAGGAGTTTTGTGTGTTTGCCAAGTCTGAGGGTTTGAACTCAGGGCCTGGGTGTTATCCCTGAGCCTTTTGGCTAAGGGTAGCTTTCTACCATTTGAGCCACAGTTCTACTTCTGGCTTTCCTGGTGGTTATCTGGAGATAATAGTCTCATGGATGTTTCTGTCCAGGTTGGCTTCAAACCACAATCTTGAGATCTCAATCTCTTGAGTAGCTAGGATTACAGGTGCAAACCACTGGTGCCTGTCTTCAAACAGGAGTTTGTAATCTGGGTCTTTGGATGGTCTTCTAGTAGTACATACTACTGTATGCAAACTTGCATGTACATATACACCGCACATTTTATCTTCTGTCCTTTCCCCCAGTACTAGCTTTGAACTCAGAGCCTTGTGCTTGTTAGGAGATGCTCCAATTCCTCTTTGTCAGTCCTTCCTTCTTTCCTTTTTCTTTTTTTGTCAGTCATGGTGCTTGACCTTGGAGCCTGAGTGATGTTCCTGAGCTCTTCTGCTCAAGGCTAGCATCTACCACTTTGAGCCACAGAACCAGTTCCAGTTTTCTGGTGGTTAGAGATAAGAGGCCTTTCCAGCCCTGGCTGGCTTTGAACCACCATCCTCAGATCTCAGCCTCCTGAGTAACTAGCATTATGGGGTGAGCCACTAGCACCTAGCTTCCTTTCCTTCCTTCCTTCCCTTTCTTCTTTACCTCCCTCATGTCCTGATTCCCTCCTTTCCTTCCTTCCTTCCTCCAAAACTCGAAATGCTACTTGAATATAGTGAAAAAAACAGATGTAGTTTGTCCCAGTTCAACTAAACAAACAAGGAACAACTACTGGCTGGCTGGTTCACAATTAAAAAAAGGGTCACAGTGAATTATAATAATCTCATAATTTATTATACAAATTAACTTTTAGTTCAGCCTCTGTATGACTTTTACAGAATTAGGATTAAAATATTCTTTATATACTATTTCCAACAACTGAACATAAAAAGTCATGCAGCAGGAAGTGGCGCTATGGCTCAAGTGGTAGAATGCTAGCCTTGAGCTTAAGAGTTCAGGGACAGCACCCAGGCTGAGTTCAAGCCCCATGACTGACAAAAAAAAAAAAAGTCCTGCAGCAATGAAAAAAATATAGCACAAAAAGTAAACAAAAAAACATACCTGGCATGTTCTTCAGGAAGTTTTCTTTGCCGCTGCATATGAAACATTAGATCTCCTCCATTTACATACTCTATAACAAAGAACAATCTAAAACACAGGAGAAAACACATGAAACCAAAATTTAAAATTATGTATTACAACTCTGCATTTTAAAACTACAGAAATCATTCACAATTTAAAAAGCATTCTCTATACTGTGATCTCTCTATTTAGAAAGATAGCAATAATTCAGTAGAAACAAAAGCTATCTAGAGTACAAAAGAGACAAGAAAGTAAACAAGCACAGTAACACATCAGAAATCTTCTTCTAAAGTAGAACCAATCCAGAGCCACCCACTCCATCCAGCTGTCTATATGCCATCCCCTCCAGCTGTGCATATGCGACATCACTTATCTTCAGCTGTTACTACTTAAAGAAGTTCAGTTTTTCCTCCTGTAGTTGAAGAAATGTTAATGCATAAAATCAGAATTCCTAGGATCTTCAAAAGATGTGATTTCTACTGCCATAATTATGACCTGGCTATTTCTTTCCTTTTCCTTTCTTTTTCTGTTTCGCCATTCCTATTACTGATCCAAAGCTACGTTTCTATCACTGATCAAAAATATGAGATGCAGGAAGTTGGAACCACAATACTCTTGTGTCCATCTTCATAACTTCTACTTCAGAAATAATGTAAGAGAGATACTCATTTTGTAATATTCCAATATGTATGAAACCCACTCCATTGTTTTTTACCTGCTTTCTGTCTGAAAGCAAGAATGCAGCCCAACAAGAAAAGGATGATTGGATGCCTGCTCAAAAACATGCTTCTCTGTCTGCACCCAATCAATATCCTATTTCAAAACACAAAAGAAATCCATGTTAAACTAAAATAAAATCATCAAAATGAACAATAAGTTTTTTCTTAGCAATTCAATTATCACAAATGGAATCTTTAATTAATTAGGCTAAACATCAAACCCACTGGCAGGAATTGAACAAAACAATGATATAGTATAGAGAAAACTTCCACTAGTAAATTTTACAGTCTAGAAAACTTTTACAATGCCCTAACACTTTCCCTGATAAAAATGTGACTTGATTATTGTTTTGTTTTATATATAATAATCAACTAGGTATAGTGGCTCAAGTCACTTGAGAGGTAGAGATGGAGGGGTGGGGGCAACAGTTTAAGAATAGTCTGGACAGGGCTGGGAAGGTGGATCAGTGGTAGAGCGCTTGCCTTGCATGCTCGAGGCCCTGGGTTCGATTCCTCAGCACCACATAAGCAAAATGAAAAAAGCCGGAAGTGGCGCTGT